CCCCTGCAGGAACCCAAGCAGCCCTAGGACGTGCCACCCCACAGGACTGCAGGTCGTGCAGCCTCACTGATGCTGGACCACAACCACCACTGCTCGAGAAGCCTGTGCCAGCTGCTCAGCAGGCCCACCAGCCTGCAGAACCACAAGAGACCCTGAATGCTGTGGTGTGAGCCCACGCTGGTGGCTGGGCAGCTCCTGACACCCGCAGCAGCGAGATGGCACCGGTGGGCACTGGGCAGCGTCAGAATGGGTGGGGGCCAGCTCGTGGGGTCCCTTGTGAGCCTGAGCCAGACCCCAGATCCCTTCCTGAGGTCCCATGGGACAGGCAGGCTGGGCATACCTGCAGAGAAGATGTGGCCAGCCACGGCCAGGAACGCATCGGTCACCACAGGCTCAGACTGCAGGGAGATGTGCAGCTGACGAGCCACGTTGCGGTAGACGCTGGGTCGGATCATCTCCAGCTCATCCCCTGTGTGGTCACAAAGGCAGTGAGAGACAGCCCACGCCCCAGCTCCCTGGGACACAACTGGCTTGGGGCACACCCTGCACCTGACCCCACCTGACCCTGCTTGAATTCCGGCCTGTTCCTGACTTAACTTGTCTGATTCCCACCTCCACTTAACCCCATCTGACCTCCCTTGAGCCGTCCCCCAACCTTGGCCCCTAGAGACCAGGAGACCAAGGAAGTGCTGAGGGTGCCCCCAGTCCTGCCCCTCTGCCGAGCCAGCCCCTAGGCCAAGCCGGCCAAGCCGGTGGGGCGGGAATCCTGCGAGAGCGTGGGCCGTGCCTGCTGGTGACTCACAGCCGACAGGCAGTCGAGCTGCCCAGAGCAGGAGGGACCAGGCAGGCGGCCAGAGCCCGACGTGGGGAGGGGCTGGGCAGAGAAAGCTTCGGGGTGAGAGCAGGGGGAAGCCCGAGAGCCTGGCTCAGGCCCTAGCATGGCTCAGGGACTGCTCAGGTGCAGAGGGTGAGCCGCTGTCCTGGGCCACCCGCACTGCTACACTCCCACCTGGGCTCTTGCTGCCAAGGGGACGTGCTTGGAGGTGGCACTGCATCAGCCCGCCCTGGCAGCCAAGGACGGCCCCCTACAGGCCCACCGCCCCGAGTGCTGCCTGTGGCGCCCTTGGCAGCAGCAGTGCACAGGCACAGGGCAGATGGTGCCAGGAATGCCACAGGGCCCTGGGATTGGGAGTCCCCAGCCCAGCCAATTCTCCAGCCAAAGCAAACAGGGTAATGCTCCTGACCGGACCATTCTGGCCGATAAAGGCGCCCTCATCCCCTCCCCGGAGCCAGCTGCTCTGGATCTCACTAATTAAGATCTGGAACCAGAGCAGAGCCCAGGAGAGGCTGACCGGGGGTTGGGGGTGACATGGAAATTTCCAGGCCTGACCCTGCGGCTCCCAAACACAGACCTCCGGGGCTGCTGCAGGCTGGCCCCAGACTGAAGGTGGGGACACAACCCAGGCTTCTTCCTGTCTGTGCTGCCCGAGGGCAGGAGACAGCACTGGCCTCGGGAGACTGACCCTGAGTAGCTGTGAGGGCAGATGCAGGTCTGAGCTGTGTCCCTCCGGGGCCCCCCTGGACATTTGGGACTTCCTCTCAGCCATTCCAGGAGTCTGGCATCATCTTCTCAGAAGGCCACTAAAGGATCCCCTAGGGTCATTCTCAGAGTCTGGCTAGAGGCAGCAGCAGGTGGCGGGTCTCACGGAGTCCCACCAACAGCCTCGCTCCCACCCAGAGACCTCTCCCTCCTTCCAACCTAGGCCTCACATGGGACTCCACCTCCTCCCGGAGGCTCTGTGCTGGCCCCCATGGATTCTGTGTGTACCCCACACACACTCCTGGGCAGGCCAGGTCTGCACAGCTTTGCTCTCTGGGCCCAGCCCACCATGTAAAGGCAGGAGCCACCCACAGCTCATGCCAGCGTCAGCCTGAAAGGAGGCAGCATGTCCCCTCACAGGGTCGTGACCTCCAACCCCAACCCCAACCCCCTGCCTGAAGAGCCACCGATTCAGAGTTTCACCGCTGCTGTCACCTCCCCTTCCCGGGCTCGGCCACAAGCGCCCCATGTGCCCTCTTTGGGCACCTCATAAACATTCACAGGTGACGGCAGCAGCCCAGCTGTGGTGAGGGACGGCTGGTCCCACCCTCTGCAGTCCAGACCTTGGAGACAGTGGGGGCAGCCAGTGGGCTGTGTGTGACCCCAGAACCGAGCACCCCCAGATGTCCTCACAGCACCAACAAATACTGAGGTTGTGGCTACCCAGCCCGGTTGGGCGCAATTTCCAATGGGGGGCCTCGGAGGCCTTGGAATGCAGAGGGCAGCGGGCTGGATCTCGGCCAGTAACAGCAAAGATCTGTTTTCCAAAATAAACATCGGGACACGTGCTCCTACAAAGGGTTTCTGTGCCCAGCAGAGAACAAGGGTCACTGTGGGACCTTAGCCACCCACTAATAGATTATTCTTTCTGGAGCTTTCTATTGTTTATGGCCAGCATGGCTGAAATCTGTGCTAAGCAGGCAGCTGATGGGGGGCCTGTGGCGTGGGAGGCCTGAGAGCAGATCT